TTCCAAAGCGCTGCTAAAGCTGGCCTTTAGAAAGCGCTTTTAAAAGCGCTGCTATAGGATATGCTACGAAAGCGCTTTTTGATGTAAAAGCGTTGTTATAGATGACCTTTAGAAAGCGCTTTTAAAAGCACTGTCGTAGGTAGTTTTATAATAAATATCAAAACACAATTTGTATCACTTTTCTATTCTCAGTCGGATTTTCTTCACGAAAAAACCCTAAACCAGAGCTTCTACAACGGTCAACGGCGCTCCACTTCTCCAGCCAACTGCAATTCATATCAGGTTTCTTTTTTGTCGTTTGTCTCCTACTCACGATATTAGCAGTAACTCTTTTCCTTCCTACATTCATCCTTTGTCCCTCATCTCTCTCTCCGCTCCAAAACCCTTCTTTCGCCTCAATATTCTTCTTTGTTCGTTTTGTTTCTTATCTTCTCCTTCTCCGATCTACAGATCCATCACTTAGTCTCCACAAAAAGGAGCATTCTTAACATACTATATATGATTGGATTGGAAGAGAAAGCTAGGAACTCAAAAATCATGTGCACGTGCGAGCAAATTTCTGGAGGTAAAGTTAGGGTTTTGCTTTTATCTATTTTGATTGAAATCACTCCTCTAACTTTTGAGCATTTGGTCTTGCGATTTGAGGAAAACATAATCTTATTTAACAAACCCTAAGATCAAATCCTCAATATATCTTTGGCAATTGATTTTGAACTTGTTTTTCTATTTAGTACGTTGAGTTGTGAATTTTTTGGTCCACTGGTTTTGAATTGCAATGTTAAGTTTGTATGTTGTGGTATAATCTACCATGGAATAGCTTAGGATGTATGAATATTTAAAGTGCACATAGTATTAATGTACGTTTAGATACTTTCATAGATATTTTAAACATTATTTCTGTAGTTTAATTTAGGGGTGTGTCTTCTTTTTCTGTTGAGATTTGTAGCCACTTTTGTTTCCAGTTCCTAAAAGGCTCTATTCTTTAATAACAAAAGAAATTGTATTGAGGCATATTTAGAGTTTGTTTTTTTACTTCATCTAATTTTTTAAGTATTTTACTAAGTTATTTTTTGGGGATCGGTTGCTATATTATGTTTTAAACGTGAGGGTTTCAATTCAAGAGCTGGCTTTAAAAGTGGCATTTAGATTGTGTGGAACATCCAAAGAGGCTAAAAAAGTATCAGTTGATGCCAATTTTATGGCAGATTTTGTTAAGTTTTTGAACGTAATGATTCCTCAATGCTTATCTTCTTTTTCAGCATACACATGTCAAAGGATACCTCGATGCTTATAATCCAAATTGCTTTGATTCACCTCTTGGAATATACATCAATCGAATTAAGGTGAGGATATGTTTGTAATATATTGTTGGATAGTCATACTAAAGTTAACATTAAACCCGCGATTGAAAATTTGTGTGTGTACTATACTGTTTAACTTGATTTTTCTAAATTTTCCTTTTATGATCAGCACCTGACATAATGTTTCATTTTTACAAAAAAAGATTACAAGGATTATTGTGAAATAAAATTTCCTTGATGTAATTATCAAACTATCTCTATCCCATGAAATTAGTTGATCTTATTCTCCATGTTGTATACGGAATCAAAACTACATTGAATGTGGACCTATATCCAACAAAGCCTTTTTGATGGTACACTTGTTTGCTGATGCATAGAAGTACAATTAGTAGTTACTATGAAGACTTTTATTTTTATATTAGATTCTTACTGCCCTTAAAAAAAAGGATTCATGATTTTTTCTATTCAAAATCCTTTGGCCTTTAATTCTTAAAATGCATATCCCTTGGTTATTCTTGTTGTATTGTATATATACTTTGATGTATCACAAAAAGAGGTACGTTTAAAGTGTTAATTATATAATCCGAATAAAAAACGGCATAATTTTATAATTTAACTGAGTCTATATGATTTTTAGGTACCTTTTCAAGGGTCACAACAAGTGAGCCAGAAAATCGTTGGCGTACCACCCAAGAAAAGGGTTCCTACTAGATTTTTCCCTCGATACCGGTAGTGTCTTGAAACAATAGTGGGAACAACAGATTTGATGGATGGTGGTATTCGTCAAATGGATATGGATCAAGGTATCTTTGGTTTTCTTTGCACCGAAATAATTGGACATGAGGACGTGGAAGAGATTTTCCGTCATAAAGAATTAGGCGTCAGTATTATACACGCATACATCCGGTAACCCCATCTTTATATTATGTAATTAGCTGAAATTTTTTTTAAACATTTCAATGAATATAGTCTAATATTAATTATGTTTTTATTTAAGGTTGTTATATGATAAATTGATGCGCGGGAATCAATTGTCAAACACATTCCATTTCGTGTCTTCCTCCCGTGTCAGCGGAGCGACACTTGGTAAGGAACCAGATTCAGTAAGAGAGCACTTAGTCGAAAGATTCATGGCAACTGGCAGTACAGAAAACTTATATCTTTGGGCGCATAATACTATTCCTACAGGGTTAGATTTTCATTCTAAGTTCATTTTAATATTTGTAATTTTTGCGTAGAAAAGTTTCTTCTAAATTGTTGTTTTAATTTATAGACGTCACTGGTTGTTGGTTGTTATCGATCCTATAAAAGAAGTGGTCTATTATCTGAATTCGGTTGACGGTGATTGGACAAATTATCCGGATATGAAGTTAATGCTTGATACGTAAGTGAGATTATTCTAAATATTTGTGTGTATTTATATATTTAATTATTTCTGTGACATTGTTCTAAATATATATTTTTATTTTGTTAGAGCGATACAAGTATTCTGGTGTCAAAGAGAAGCTCGGGTACAACGGTCTAAATCAAATAACATTAATTGGATCAAAGTGCAGGTATATTAATTTCCACTATTTTGCTTATAATATTTATGCTATTTGATAGGGTTGATTTTGTAAGACTGGTTTAGTTGTTGTTAGGGTTGATTTTGTAAGACTGATTTTGAGTTACAATGCTGATAACAATGGTTTTTATATATTTTGAGGTACAAAAATGGTGTATATATATTTTGGATTACAATGGTATACAATGCATTACCGCAGTTTATGAATTACAGGTTATGGCAACTGGTTTATATAAATAATATGCTACAAACAATGCTGGTATATGAATTATATAAATTATACCTCTAAAAAAAAACACCCTATGAAAGCGCTTTTTCAAGAAAAACGTTGTCTTAGGTATCCTATGAAAGGGCTTTTTCACAAAAAGCGCTGTCTAAGGTAAACATATGACAGCGCTTTTCCAGGCAAAAGCGCTGCTAAAAGACCACCTATGAAAGCGCTTTTCCAGAAAAAAGCGTTGCTAAAAGCCTACCTAAGACAACGCTTTTCCAGAAAAAAGCGCTGCTAAAAGAAAACTTATTAGAGCGCTTTTCTAGAAAAAAGTGTTGCCTTAGGTAGACCTATGAAAGCGCTTCTTCATAAAAAAGCGCTGTCAAAAGTCTACTTAAGAGAGCGCTTTTCATTAAACAAAAAATGCTGCTAAAACCTATAGCAGCGCCACCTTAGAAAGCGCTTTTAAAGGCCAAAAAAAGCGCTTTCGTAAGTCTTTTTTGGCGTAGTGACACCTCATGTTTCTACACCTTTGGACACACACCCCTATCATTTTAATTCCAACAACTCCTAGGCCTCTAATCCCCAACAAATGCATCATAGCACAACAGAAGATTTACTAACGTGCATAACTACATCACATCGTCTAATTAATTTGAATAAAATAATTCAACGAAATCAGGGTGTTACAATAAGCGCTTGATTAAAGAGATCTTAATGTTTCAAACTAAGACCATCATTTTTATTATTGCAACACACTTTCTTCCAACTTAACCAATTAATCTTCCTTTTCCCCTCCTCACCACCCCACAAGAAATTACGTTACACCTTTATGACTTCATTAATGATAACTTTGAGTGCTTTAAAGAATGAGAAAAATTAATAGATAAAGTATTAGAACTAGGTTTAACAAGGCCACCTTACCACCTATAGAAATCTTTCTACTTCTCCACTGGCGCAGTTGGAAAGATTACAGAGTCGCCATCATATTCAATTCATTTTTAATAAACAAGGGAAATAATGAGAAAATCCTAAGAGAATGATAAGACGCTTATCACAACCAAATAAGGGTTCAGAAGTCGGTTAGGTAAGAAAAATGTGTTAGTCACCCATCACCTCCATTGTATTCAACGGGAACCTCCTATAAATTTAGGGTTAAGGTGTTTTTGTCTAAGGTTTGCTTGCCTAATCATTTACTTCTTGCTTAAATACTTTTATTTACAAGGGAAGGGTATTGTACAAAGGAGTAAAATGGAAAAATGTTAGTTTCTAAGTTAGTGGGTTCGCCTTAGTTTCACAACCGTGTGACTACGTATTTCTTATCAAGTGATGAGAAAAATTAGAGTCTAAGTAGTTCGACTTTTATTGATTGTTTTTAATTTATGAAAATGTATTTTAAATTAGACTAGTGCACAAGACTAAAAGTGATTTGATTGTCAGACGGAGAATAAAAAAATACCAAAATAAAAATCATTAATTTTTTCAATCTACTAATAATTTATATATTTATAGAAGAATCAAAATAATGAATTTAAAACTACACACTGTCTTTTAGCAAATAAAAATTATTTAAGAATGAATATTATTTTCATTTTTAATATAAAAATGATTATTATTTTTTAATTATATAATTAATTATTATTTTATATACAACTTCCTTCATATTTATAAAATTAATTTAGTAAAAGAATATTTGTCTTATAATAATATTATTAAATTTTTTAATCTGAATGAAAAAACTTTAAATGATATTTTAAAACAAAAGGAAAAGTGAGTAAGAGTAAATGGAGCAAGAGAAATGAATAAGATAGTCAAAATGTTTTTGACTCCTTCCCTTATGAAGCATTTACATTGAGTAAAGAAACTAAAAATACAGCCCAAGCAAATTCAGTTAGCTTTGAAAGTAACCGTCTCTCCAACAACAATGAAGCGAAAGAAATGGTCCGAACAAGAAGAACAAACCCTACTCTCAAAATACTCGGAGCTTCTCCGTTCCGGCACAATAACCAAACTCAAAACCCGCGAGAAAAAGTTCAAACCAATCGCCGATCATCTCAACGCCGTTCACCACCTTCACGACTCCACCACCTTCCCCTTCAAGTGGTCGTGGCGCGACGTTTCCATCAAAGTTCAGAACATGCGTCATCAGTACATCGGGGTTAAGCACAAGATTCGTATATCGTCTCAGTCTCAGTCTCAATCTCAATCTCAATCTCATCAGTTTAATTGGAATGACGGTGTTAATCATTGGGAGAATTTTTTGAATTATAAACAAGTTTTCGGTGATGTTCAAATTGATCCTAAACCGAATTGTAATCGTAATGATAGTAATGATAATAATTCTGCTTCTTGTGATTTAGGGTTTGGAATTGATGAATCTGATGACGGTGATGACGACGACGGTGGCGGTGATGGTGTTGGGGATAGTAATGATGATGATGTTTGTGAAGAAGAATTAAAGAGATTGGGATTGGGGGTTTTGAAATTGAGGGAGGTTATGGTAAAGAGGGAAGAGAAGAGGAGGGAGAGAGTGTTTTCGAAGGAGAAACTAGAGTGGAAGAGGGATGAATTTGAGTTTGAGTTGAAGAGAAGGGAATGTTGTTGTAGTGAGAGGGAATTGGAATTGGAGATGGAGATGGAGGAGAGGGAGTTGAGATGGGGGAAAAAGGAGGTTGAGAAGAGGGCGAGGTTGGAGAAGGAGCTTGAGGAGGAGAAGAGGAGGAGGAAGAAAGTGGAGGAGAAGATGGAGGAAGAGGAGATGGAGTGGAGGGAGAGGATGGTGGCTATGCAGATCGAACACGAGAAACAGATGATGCAGATGCATGCTGACGCTTGTCATAATCAAATGCAGGTTCTTGGAGTTATGGCGAGAATACTTTGTCAGTTCTTTGGTTCGGGAAATGATGGATTGGGTGGTGCTGGATTAGGGACATTGCCTCCTCAGGTGTTGCATCATGGTGGTGGTTTAGGGAGTGTGAAACCCGATGCCAGTTCACCTTCGGAGTTTATGTAGAAGTTTGTTCTTTTTCGTTTGAATTCAATTATGTGAGTGCACGCTGTTCTTTTTTATTTCTGTTAAAGTTTAATGTTCTCAAGAGCTGAAATGATTCATTCTTCATTGAAATGCTGTTTTCCTGGATCGAGAAATGTTCAGGCTTTCAGCTTTTAATTTCACAGGTTAGTGTCTTAAGTTTATTTATATTATCCTTTTATTATTTAGCTGGTGATTATTATGACCCTGTAGACATGCATTAGAGTTCTGACTTTGTTCAGCATGTGTGTTCAAGTCTTCTCAGGATATATATTGTACATTTTAAATTTCAACAATAATGTTCAAATGTTATAAGGATTAGTTTAGCCATATTTCTAGTCGATGTGGAATCTCAACAATTATGCACATGCTTCGGATAGTGTAATACTCGTGTAAACAACTGTATGCTGTTACAATATAATATAGATAGATTCATGACATATTTTTGATCATTTCTTTAGTCAAAAGTGGGCACAACTTCTAGGCTTTATGGGCAGTATTAGATTGTTTAATTAGTTTGAAGAATAGTATATTTTATTTGCTTATTTGTGCTGGACTAAACTACTTACCATTATGAATTTCAGAGTGCTTTTTTCCTGTATATTTCTTAAATGACAATGTCTTATGCTTCAAAGCATCTTTCTTATTCATCTAACTCGTTCACTCTGCTGTAGTGTGGAAGTTTCTTGATTCTTTTCCTACAAGTTTGTTGAAAATGCTCTTGAAATGAGAGAATTGTTCCTAGAACAAATGTGATATTCACGTGTCTTTACACTTAGTTTCAAAATGACTTATTTGGTCTAAAATTGAATATCTATGTTCAATTTAAATGAATCAAGTCTCTTTAGGAATTTTGTCCCGACTCCCTGTAGTACGTTCATTATATCACTTGTAATTTAGGATTGACACCTCAACTTGTTGGAGATTATGAATTATACTGTTAACAGAGGTTGGGCAAGGAAATGGCTATTGTTGCTAACATTATGTCTTCAATGTTGTTATTGTTATTTTTTAATTTCTTTCTAGAAATGTGTTTCAAGCTTACCATCAGTTATTACCATAACTTTGAAATTTTCTGTTTGATCAAATGAGAAGGTTCTCAAAACCCAAGCTGTTCTATTTTGAAGTTAACTAGACTGGGTTTGATTCTGCAAATTAGAGTTTCAGGTTGGGATGAGTCACATTTTGGGAGGAAAAAGAGTGAGGTTCGGAAAGAAAAATGGAAGTCTGAATCACCCCAGCCTGAATAGTTGAAGTTATCAGAAGAACAAATAAAATGCACCATATTGAGTTCTATATTCTTCCCATTTTTCAGCCAAACTCCAATTGTTTTATTTACAGTTGTTTTTGAAGTTTAACAGTGGAGTTTTTGAAGTTTAACTAGAGTTATTAATCTCGGATAGCGGAGCGGAACGGCCGACTCCCAAAAGTGGGAATAGCGGATAGCGGGATAACTTTTGTTGACTTTTTAAAATTGACTATTTTTAGACTAAATACATAAATAATCTATACAAATTACACAACTCTAAATTTTTTTTATAAAAATCTAGTTAATAAAATAATAATAGATTAAAGTGATATGTTATTTTTTTATTATTAATATTATTATTTACAGCTCTTCAGTATATGCTATTATTATTTTTATTATTAGTTATTATAGTGATTTGTTGTAGGAAGTTGGTAGGCATGGCAATAAAACTCTAGTTGAATCCGCTTCGAAGTTGAAGGAGAAAATCCGTTTGATTGGGTTTGTGTTTGAATTTGGATTTTCCTTGATTATAAAATATGAGGACGGACTAGATAATGGGGACACTAGTAGTTATTCCGCCCTCGAACCTATCAGTTTATTTCATTATGTATATTATTTTTTATTTTTTATAATTTAGAATATTAAATATGTGGTCAGTATTTTGATAATTTGATTTCTATTTATTATTTAAAATATTTTAAATGTATGTATGGAATTTTTTGAGATTTTTTATATTTTATTATTTAGAATGTAATTTGATTTTGGAAAGAATAAATATTTTTATTAAAAAAATTGATTTTATTAAATGGATGGTGGTAGGGCAGGAATACCTGAACCCAACCCGAATCTGTTTGGGACGGGTTTGAGTTTTAATTCTCCATCTCTGTTTGGATTTGGAACGGGGAACGGGGATTGTTTGGGGATTCAGATTTGGTGGAGGTAAAAATCGTCCCCGATTCGCCCCGTTACCATGCCTAGTTGTTGGCCTATTAAGTTTCTTTTTGCAGCTGTATGGCAATATTCATTATATCAAATGCCTATTACAGCTGTACGTAATTGTTGTGTTTCAATTCTCAATAAATTGATTACTTCTTTTGACTTTTCAACTTTTTTTATCGATAAAAAATAAACTCAGACTCTCTACCTCTTTGTCTTCGTTTTCGTCTTGTTTCTCTTTTTTCATCGATAAAAAATAAACTCAGACTTTCTACCTCTTCGTCTTCTTTCTTTTAGGAAACAATATTATCTATATATCTTCTTTTCTTTATCAAAATCATTAAAGCACAAATGAAAAATTTCAAAAAAGAAAAATCAGATGCCGTCTCGCTCTGGTGCGTCGCAATAGCGACCTTAGTGGCCGGAGTTAATAACTCTAAGTTTAAAAGTGGATTAAATTTGATGATATGAGAAAGAACATTTTGCGAAATTAAACAGTTTTAGTTAGTTGTAAAATTAGGATTTTGTTGTTCAATTCTACGATATCTTTGAAGGTTTACCATCATGGTCATACAAAGGATTGAGTTTGGTGGGATTATTGTGGGAATGTTCGAGAGATTGCAATTGACCCATGACTGAAGCCAAAGTGAAAATTTAAGATGATTTTTCATCCCACCCTTGTTATATGGGGTACACGTGTGAAAATTTGAAAATGTTTCTGGGTGAATTCGGATATGCATCTCTGAACGCATCAAATACTATTTTTTGGCAAAATTTAGTTCAGAGATGCATCTTCGAATTCACTCCTAAGGTAAATTCGCAGATGTATTTCGAAGTCACCTTTTATCCTTAAAAAACTCAATCCCTCATTTATTAAGAAAATTGGTTCAGAGATGCATATTCGAATCATGTGTGGAGATAATTCAGAGATGCATCTCTGAATTATCCCCTGCGTGATTTTTCCAGAATCAATTTTTTAAGATTATGGAGTTTTCAATAAAAACTAATTTTAATTCGATTAAAATTGTCGTTATTTATTTCAACTATTAATTAAAACGAATATTATAGAATCATGTAATGCTTTAATAAACTTGAATATTATAGAAACTGAATATAATAGTACAGCAATTGTCATGTAAGGGCGTGACACGTTATAAAACCATGTCATGTAATCATGAATAAAACTCCACTGAGATGTAGCCTCATGAGTCTGATATTCCACCGATACCAGACGACTCTCAAAATTCTCCAGAATGTCATTCAACTCTCTGCGGACAATGGTGATAGGAGCAGTCTTGTGGGGGTCTCTTGTAACACCCAAATTCTACCCGATAATATATATAAAATCAGAGTTATAAAATTTCCACAACTAAATCAGGATGCTACAAATTTAACTTAAAACAATGACATTCATTACAGATACATAACACGTTAAACTGGGATGAACCAACGACTACATAAATTAATCATTTTAAAACTAACAACTTTCATAACTACACAGTTGAGTCAAATATTAAACTTATAGAAATATAACATCTTTATCCAACTAAAACAACTTTAGATAACAAGTATTTAACCAACAACAGCTTAAAGTGCAACAACAGAATAATAACAACAATAAAATAGTAAGCGTTCATCCCACCGAGTGTTACGTATCAGAGCAATGACACCGACTCAAACTACTGAAGGTAAACTGCCTTCACTCTAGATTACCTGCACGTTGCCAACATCGGAATAACATTCGAACAGAAGGGGTGAGATATCGAACAATATAATCAGATGTATGATAAACATTATATTAGAATCAGTTCATACAAAAATCACCGCCGCACAATTAATAACAACATAAGCATAATCAACTCAACCACACAACGACACAAGATGCGACACAAAATGCAACTTGTCTTTATGCAAATGCATGTGGTACCAATGGAGCAGAACTCCCAACTTAAAAATCTGTCAATAAATAGAGGCATCAACAAGGCATAAGCCTTCAACTTAATATTTTGCCAATCCAGGCCAACTTAACGAGCATCAGCTCCAACTTGATATGCGATGTATGCAACACAACATGAATGTAGCAACAACAACAACAAACAATAACTCAACATAAATCAATGTTGGCCATAAGCCTACAACATCAACAATAATTCAACATCAACTCAATATAAATCAACGCTGGTCATAAGCTTACAACATCATATATGCCAAATTAGAGGCATCTTAACATAATTCATCAACCTGCAAATTCTCAATTCAGAACAACTTATACATCACCGGTATCGACCAAAACAACATATACAGGAAATAAGACTAGAGAAACTACGTACCCCTCGACATGCACAGCAACCAAGACGAAATAATAACTAACTCATACTCCTCGACACGCACATAAAATAAAGAAGAATAACAACTAACTTATGTTCCTCTGCACAACCTGCAACTTCGTTCCGCTCGACAACAACATCGTGCTCCTCGGCACGCCTCGCAGTCTAATGCCGCTTGGCATCCAATACATATATTCTATGACACACTTCGCATCCTAAATTCCGCTCGGCACCTAGCACCATCAACATCCTCCTCGATCACTAATTCTGGCCAACAACACAGAATAACATGATGTCGTAACGACCACATCAATACCATTCATAACTCCCGACCAACTGCTCAGAATACCACAGTAACAGGAAATTATATTTCCTATCAACAAATTTGTTCATTGTATAATACAGTCACGCAGAAACTTTCCTAACACGACCACAACAACAATCCCTAATTTCCTGCCAACTACTCGAAA